TTGTTTGATATGAGTCAAATTTTCTAGTAGCAAATAGAGTAAATGTATCTTAAACCTCTGTCACAAATATTTAAGAACTCATGGAGAGCAGGAGTATCCCTGAGGATTGGAAGTAGGCAGATTTCATCCCAGCTTTCAAAAGTGGCCAAAAAGTGGACTCCAAGCAATGTTATATAGCAAATTACTAAATGGCTTGTTTATGTGCAGTTAACACAGAAAATATTGTTCCAAAGAGACTTAAAACTTCCCTAAATGGCATTAAATTAACTTTTTCTTTTTTGATACTGAGGATTGAACCCAGAGATGCTCTACCACTGAGCTATATCGCTAGCCCTTTATTTACTTATTTTTTTAAATTTTGAAACAGTGTCTCACTAAGTCGTCAAAACTGGACTTGAACTTGTGACCCTCCTGTCTCAGTTCCCTTCTCCCCCAATTAGATGAGATTACAGATGTGCACCTTCTAACTCAGCCTAACATCATCTTTCAACATCTGGATAAACTAGTAGGTCACAGGGACTATCCTAAATAAGTCTTGATTTTACCAAGGTATTGATATAGACTCACCTAACTTGCAAACGAGATCCTAATATTTGTAAATTCACTGATTCTTAGCTAAGAATCTGTTGTTTGTGTGTTTGGTGTCGAGTGTAAACAGATCCTAATATTTGTAAGTTCACTGATTCTTAGCTAAGAGTCTATTGTTTGTGTGTTTGGTGTTGATGTAAACAGGTAAGTAGGTGAATTCAGTCACCATGGCCTGTCCTGTAATCTGGTGATGGAGACACAAAAAAGCAATAAAATAAAAAATGATTCTGGCTACTGGGTGAAGGATAGATCTAAGGAGGTACAAAAAGGGAGATGGGTAAAAGTTATCAGAAGTTAAAGACGATAGCTCCTTAGACTGATGTCAGTGGAGATAGGGAAAGCAGCTTATGTATTTGGGATATATTCTGGAGGTAGAAATGATGAGAGCTTTGCTTGTGAATTGGGTATGAGGAATGAGAGAAAAGGTAAGAAATCAACAGTGACTTCCAGGCTTCTGGCTTGAGCCGTCAGCTAGACAGTGAGTCATTTGCAGATTGTCTTGTTCTATTCAGTCAGGATCAGAGGCTTCATGAAGGTACACTGAAGATACGAAGCTGCTGAGATGGGTAGAACCAAAAAAAAAAAAAAAGAAGAAGAATTTTAAAAGATAGCACAAGACTTGAGAGATAAAATGTAATAAAAATAGATGTAGAATTTTACACTTAAAAAAAGTAGACAGGATAGGCTAGAATCAGGCAGACTTGGCCTAGGAGCATTTTATACCAAAGCTCAAAAAGAATGAGAAGTGTGATATGACTGCCATAAAAATGAATCCCCAAATAGTTTGCCTTAAAAGAAATATGATGTCCAACTCAAGAGAACCGAAAATCACATCATGCTTTGCACTATCTGGATAGAAACTGAAGTTGTAGTGTTGAGCTTGTCTCAGCACACAGGCCTTGGAAGAGGAAATCATCTGAACCCTTTCTCACAAGATGAACTGTTGAAAAGTCTGGAGGTGTGTTTAAGTCAAAGTGTCCAGTCACCTTCGGAGGGATTGTTAGGTAGAAGAGGGGTTAGATTTCAGGTAGATTCAAACAGATCTTGAGGGTAAAGTGAGGACCAAGGGTAGAATAGCAGCAGTGATTTCAGCTCAGTCTCAGTTCCAAAGCACAGAACTATCCAGAAACAGAACAAGTTGCCTAATGGGTCCCCTCTCAGAATATATTTTGCAGATCTGGTACCTGTATGTTTKCGTGGAGTGTGGCGGTTTCTTGTACTGGGTGTAGATCTAGACCGAGGTCGTCTGGGAAGGTCTGTCCCTGATTCAAGTCTAGAAATCCTCTAGAGTTCCCTAGCAATTCTCCCAGGAGACAAAATTTCCTGATCACATTCTTCACAGTTCTGACCTTCCCACCGCCCCTTCCCCACGGCCCATCTAGTTACATGCCCTAGATCCCCTCTAGTCAAGGCCAGACACAAGTGTGAAATATCAACATCTCAAAACCCCAAGTATCATGTAAAAATGCCTTTTCCAGCCACCAGTTTTTTTTTGCCAGCCGTATTAAAACTTTCGCCCAATGGTTAACAGTGTGGAGGCTTAAATGATAATCCAGATAAAATGAAAAAAGGAATTACTCCTGTTCCCCTTTGTTAACTCAAGAATACCAGCTAGTGTTTCTCTTCCAGGAAGCCATAATTATGTGTTCAAATACCTATTTAGACAAATAGGGGCATCGTGCTACTGAACACCAGTGTTTAAATAAGCCCTCACGGTCTGGTCTCTCCCATTGTTCCTCTCAGTGTTTTCCTTTAAATGTCATGGTTTCTGTGTTTCAAAGCATCTCCGACTTGGTTTTCTTAAACTATTGTGGGATCTGTTAGAGTCAATTAGACAACATACTGCTTATTTCTAAGAATCTAAATAAAGAGGTGTCCTTTTCTAAATTTTAATCTTGCTAATGCTAGTTTCTGATATCCCAGAAGAATTATTAGAATTTTACCTACACAGTTTGCTTTTTTAGTGGCCTGGACAAGGGGAAAAAAAAGTTTTGTTGTATGTTAGTTTTCAGTCATGAAAGGAAAGATTCATATTCTGTGAGGGATGAAAGAGAATCTTCATAGATTGAATGGTTAAATGCAGAGGCTCTGGGACACTCGCTATGTGTCCTTTCCTGTGGGGTGCAGTGTTCTGTCCTTTAAACATGGGAGCAGAACTGTTTTCCGTCGCTGTGGGAGCACTTCATCCTGCTGTGTTTTAAAGTGGGGAACAAAATCGGGAATCATCCTACTCCAATCTTCTCTGATCRACACTTATCCCATCTGATAAAGGAAAAGGAGTAACAGGATTTTATGAAGAAATTCTTCAATTCTTTGACGAGGGCCAGAGGCCCACTGATGAGCATCATCCACTAAGAGATTCAACTRTAGAATGCGTGAAGAGACAACCATGTGGTTCCAGGGGCTATTAGCRAAGAGAACACTGCAAATGTTTTCATAGAATATTTCTTTTGCTATTAGGTATTCAGTTTCTTCCAAGTTTAGAGCTTCTGGTAAATCATTATATAGATGCTAAGTAATTAATACTTCCTGCTAGGCACATCTTTCTGCAAGGTCATACCACAGCCTTGGGTATGTAGTAATACCTCCTGTACTGTTCTTCTCAGGCCCCAGCAGAGTCCGACCGATTAGGTCACATGATCACCCCAGAATAGCACATGACAAAATCCTAAGATGGCACCCATCCTCTCCTCACTGGGAAGCCCATACTGTTCTGTTCTGTGCCTCCAGGGTCTGTCATATGCACATTAGAAGTCGACACTTAGTGTTCAGGATCCCTGAACTTGAGAAAACTCTGAATAAAACTCAAAGTTTACTTTTTTAACATAAATATTATTTATCTTATAGGGGAAAAAAAATCAAGCTACAATTTGATCCTGTATCTTTTTCTCTCACAGAGCATATCAAATCATGTTTCATTACATATGTCAAAGCTACTGGGTTGATCAATAAACACTTGCTCTCAATGTTTTATGTCCTTTAACCARCAAAGATTGTAAGGGACTTACCTTACCATCTTAGTCACCCCCCTTAATCACTTACCATCTTAATCTCCTCGATCAAGCTAAACAAATATGCATCTGAAGGTATCTCCTCAATCAGCATAATTAATCTAAATTCCCCTTTATTGGCAGGACAGTTTGGCCTGTACGCAAAGTGTTGGGTTTTCGATTTTTCCTCCCAAGTGCTCTGACTCTCTTTCTGACCAATTTCTGTCAGTCCATCTGTTTAGCTGGTGACCATTCTGTACTTCCTGTTTTCCTCCACAGCATTTTGCATGCAGGAGAAGCAAAATGCTATAGGACCAGAGACTAAGGAACAGTCATTCCACCCAGTGCAAAGGAATGGCCCTATGAGATGGCCTCTGAGCTGGGCCAAGAGCCCCTGGAGTTCAAAAGGTGTGCATGCAGTGGGGGAGGATCAGGAGTAGGAGCCCCGMCAAGAACAGCATGTTGTGCCAAGTGCCTCTCAACAGCACTTGCTAGGAAAATAATTGCCTTTATTTACTCAAACATGGAATCAATTGCAGTAATTTATTGTTCTAGGTCTATATTTCCCTACATCAGAGAGTGAGTGGTTTCACTTGGGGAATGGAATATTTTCCCCCCTCTTTTTAATAAATGGGTTTTATTTTTAGTATCATGTCAGTTTTAACCAAAGGATTCAGAAATAATCTATGTAATCTCCCACATCATTTTAACTGTAAATTTTCTTGAGAAGGGTTTCATAATGAGCCAGATGTACTAAAACAAAAACATGAGTTCATCATTGAAAAAAGCCTTTTCATTATGCTTGATTGTCAGAATCTCCCCACTGGAAGAGGTGGGTATGCATCTCAGAGGAACCACATGCAAAAAACAAGGAAATTAGATAAGTGGTACAATGTATGGATTTGAAAATAGCCATAGGGGGAAAGGTCACCCATGGAAGCAGTGAAGCAAGTTGCCTAGAGTCACGTGGTCTCTCTTGGAAGGTCACTCCCTGCAAGCTTTTTCTTTCACTCCCCACCCCCAAACCACTTTCTCACCCAGATGTAAAGAGAGACTATCCATACTCTAGACTAAAAATGTATTGTTTCACAATGTGGTCTTACAGTCATCTCAACTGAAATGTTCCCAGAGAGCTGTTTCGGCTTCGAATGACATAAAAAATGTTCCCAGAGAGCTGTTTCGGCTTCGAATGACATAAAGAACTTGAACTGGTAGACTTACTCAGATTCTAATGAGCACTTCTTTATTTGGTAGGACATTTTTATTGAGGTTTCTAAAGCAGGGTGACTAACAGTTTCCACATTTTGGATACTATTAACAAATAGTGTTAACCATATAAATAAACCTTTGCCCTTCTAAAATGCAAGATCAGAATATGCTGTTTTCTAGTTATTACAACAGAATTTATTTTCTTTGCTTCAGGATACTTTTGACTTCAGTAACATTGCTGTCCATCTATTCAATAAACCTTCTATTGATCTGTTCCAAGGAAACAGGTAAGCTAAGAAAAAGTCTAATTTTGTTAAGGCTGAGGTGAATAATGTTCATGGTGAATTGTGAACAAATGATGCTCTCTTTGTTCAGCAATTTGATTATTAAAAAGAAAGTCTACTTTGACCTACAGTAACTGGAAGACTTATTGTGTTATTTGCCTAGAGAAACAGGCACTCAAGTTTAAATTGTCATGAGCAATGAGCAAATAGCATTGTCATTTAAAGTGAACCCTTAGTTGCATCTGTTTTTCTACTTTAAGATGACTTCATTTTCAAGGCTTCTGTTTTCCCTTAGGCCTTCATAAATCCTGAACAAAGATTGCATGTTTTATATCATAACCTCCAAGGTTTTAAAAAGTAAATAGACCTTTTATCCTCTTTGGTGCATATTCCAAGGAGAAAATGTTACTCCTGAGGCAGTGTGGGAGGGAGCCAGCTACCAAGGACTTCAAGTTCTCTGGGCAGTGTAATACCTGAAGTGTTTATTTTCTATTCCTGGGACACTGGATTATGTTTGTAATACTTTGACTTTTACATTAGCTAAAACCACATTGGCCAGCTATTATTGTATACAGATGACTGGAACRTTTTGTAATAAATTTAGGATCTACCCATTGTCTAGTTTAAACACCAGTCTTATGAGAGATTAAATAAAGGTTTAATTAYAGCCTGATCCATATTGCTTTCTTGAACTGTCATAAAGAAATGTAACAGGTCGTTGTGTTTTGTTTTTTGTTGTTGTTCTGTCTTTTTTTCTTTTGGGGGTACTGGGGATTGAACCCAGAACCACCCACATGCTAGGCAAATACTCTACCAACTGAGCCATACACACAGCTCTTATTTTTTTGTTTTGAGACAGGGTCTGTAAGTTGCCCAGGCTGCCYTTGATGTTGCCTCAGCCACCCTACCCAGGCAGTTTTTGTTGTTGTTGTTTTTAATGAATGGATAACAATTTTAGTATCTACTGATATGAGCTTTTTGATCACTTTAGAATTTTGCTACAGCCAGATTAGTCTTGGCTCAGATTTGTCTGCGGCTTTCTTTGAACTAAATTTTATGAATGATCAGAATTCTTATGTGATTACTACTAGAAGCCTATCTTTATATTTAGGACAAGAGGGATTGATGGAATGTTATGAAGATAATTCTTTGTTAGCCTGATCTGTTCAGGTAGTTAATCATAAAGGAATCTTTTTGTTTTAAACACCAGGATCTTTTTTTAATCAATTCTTCAGCAGTACATACCAAACCTGAGAAAAAGATGAAAGTGGGAATTGCCCTCCAGTAAGGTAGAGATATTTTAAAATAAGCCATATGATCTAGAGTTTAATTATAATGCTACTGTAGCCAGCTTGAAAAAGGAGAAATGGTGGTCATGTCTGACCTTTAAAAATGTCAAGATGTTATTTTATCAATGTAATGCATTAACCCTTGCATAGCCAAGCTGGCTGCTATTTGTCTGAGTTTGAGAAAGACACAAAATAATTTGAGGAATGGTCAACAGGATTGTGTCCTTAATTTTGACTCTTAAATAGGCTGCATGGTTTATGAAAAGCTGGGAGAACAAGTCTTTGGCACCACAGGGAAGCTGGTCATCTTTGGAGCCACCTCTCTACAGAACACTGGAGGTAAAGAGAACATGCTTTCCATACATAAAGTATGTGACTTATTGCCTTTTCTAATTCTGGTAGTGGGGTGTCCACACAATTCAAGCAGTTATCACACATGGAATGTACGGCAGAGATAGCCGTTCTTACTTAAAGACAAATATCCCACTAGGGCTGCTAAAGCTACCTTTGTGTCTTACTGAAGGTTAGTCTAAGAACAGGCTGGTAGTCTTCTAGATAGCTTGCAATATGATCCTTGGTATTATCTTTCTAAAAATGTCCTCATTTTCCTCCAGCAATGCTGAGCTACCTCTTCATAGTAAAAAATGAACTACCCTCTGCCATAAAATTTCTGATGGGAAAGGAAGAGGCATTTTCGTAAGTTATAGACTGTGTGTGTGTGTGTGTGTGTGTGTGTGTGTGTGTGTGTGTAATAAAACTAAAATGTTTTTAATTTAAATGCAGGCTAACCAAAGCTTTTGTTTTATGAAAATTGCAGAAACAGAGTTTTTCCTTGGCTGTTTTTTTTTTCCCCTTTGTTCAACAATAAATTTCTTTGGGGATATATAAGTGAAAGAAGCAGGGAGAGCTATTTGAATATGAACGTTTAAAGGTAGAATTATCTGTTATGCTGCAAACAATTGATACTGCATTTTCCCATGAGCCTGAAATCTATATCAAATTTCTGTGAAATAGAACAGATATAGAATATTTTTACACAGAAGCAGGACATGAAAAAATACAAAAAATAAGACCCTAGCCCTCTTACTTAAAGGCTTATAGCATTTGGGGAGCAAAGTTTATATGAACGAACCTCATTAAAGATGTTGTTAATCCTGGAAAATGTTGCCAGCCACTTTTGGCATAGGAATTATGTTTTGACTCTTTCTTGTTTAATAGTTCTTATTAGTCTTAGTTTCTGTTTTCCTTTGGAGAATTGTAGGAGCCAGAGTTCCTAGTGCTCTATCCTCGGGATTCAAGGTCAAATCCAAGGGATCAGCGAGAGAGAACTGCCTACCTGTGGTGACTCGATTCTCACTGATACCAGCCAAGCAAAACAAAAAGGAACTTTCTCTTTGAATAATTGATAGGACAAGTTGTAATCTGACAGAATGCAATGTATGCATTCAGCTTCGAAACTACATAAATAATTCAGAGGAATGCCACATTTAGCCAATGAGAGACAAAGCTCATTCCCCTTCTTTCATTACCTGGGAGTGAGGCAGTAGTAAAGGAGTAATAGTTGGGTTAAAGTGTCTGGATAAAACCTGAATAATGATTAAAAATACCAATGGTAAAATTAGTAATAAACATGAATTACAATATATCATGAAATTTTACCTGGGGCAGGCGTGTCACTTTCTGAACAAAACATAGAACCTAGCTGCTTACCTGCCTTTCAGAGCCTGGTATGTGGACGGCCGAGTTCTGGTGGTGATGGTTACCTTTGGCATAATTCTCCCTCTGTGTCTCTTGAAGAATTTAGGTAAGGAAAGATCTTGCCTTTATCTTTATCTTGCCTTTATCTTGCCCATAATCTCTACAGTGCCCACACGATTTAGAAGCCTCATAAAAATGAACAACATTGCCTTGTACTTCCACTTGCAGGGTCATAATTAAGTGAATCATAAATTGCAAGTATTAATCAGGCCCAGTGTTAAAATGTGTGAGGAAAACACATCAGTATGTGACTTCCTGAGTAGTCCCTCTACTAAGCTGGGGTGGGCAAAGGGAAGGTTTTTGGGGCCGATAATACAGTATACAGGTTGCCCCAAGGAAAGTCCTGAAAATGGAATTCTCTTCTTATGAGGTCATAAATACTCTGATTATTTAGACAGATTTTCATATTTAATATCAAGACAGAAAGTTGCTTGTATTTATACCCCAAAGTGTTATGAATCACTCTTAAATTTCGAGTCTAGCTAATATCAGTGATTTCCCTTGCTGAAAGGAGAGTGAAAAAGTTTAAAGTCAAAAATGACATGATCTCCAAGTCACATCCATTTGGTTTTGACATTTTGTTTCTATGCTTGTGAGTTGGAGACAAGTATGCCTGCTGTTAAGAGAATTTCATACACTGAGTAATGAGGCCAGGTTGCTGTGTAGTCAAAAACCTCTAAGAGGCATTTTCTTAAAGTCTGGGCTAATTCAAGGCAAAATTTTGGATTAATGTTCTTCCAAAAATAATTATGAAGCAGTTTTTTTTTCCCCCCTGTTAAAAAAAGAAAAGTCACACTTCTATAGCTTCTATGAAGTTTATTAAATAGACTTGTTTTCTTTTAAGTACTCAATTTTCTACTTTCTGGGTTGGTGTAGGCTTTTCTATGATGCCAGAGAAGGGCCCTTCCTCAGGGATGAGAAGAATGCAGTTCCCAGGAGCCCACTTACTTCACCTTCCTAGAGGCTGTGCAGAGAGGCAGATGGAGTTCTTAGAATCCCAGTTGAATTCTAAGGGGAACAAGTAAAGCTCCTCAGATATGCCATTTATCCCTAGAAATTCACATCTTGTGCCTGTCATCTGGGGGAAGAATTGTTATAATTGACACCCAGTGTGCACGATGAAGAACTACAGAGCATTGAGGAGTAAAGGGATTTGCCTGTAGGACTGCCTTAGAGAACATCAGCACACAGGCCTAGGGCCAAAATTGGGAGGCTCCTTTTCCCTGAATTCTGGGAATCTGTGTTCTCTAGTGTGCCAGGGAGCACTGAAATCAAAACACCTAATATCATGCTTTTATTCAAAGCCCTAATTTTTTTTTGCCAATAAAGTAGCACTGTCAAATAATAAATCTTGTATTCACATGGACATGTGTGCATATTATTGGAGTTCCAAGCTAGGCTTCAAATAATGCATTGAAAGAAATGAAATAATTGATGAAATAATAATAGCAATTTATTTTTTTTACTTTTTAAAGGATATCTTGGGTATACTAGTGGATTTTCCTTGAGCTGTATGGTCTTTTTCCTCATAGTGGTAAGTGCTGATTGAAATGGTTTGATTTTGACATAGTACAATGCCATGTAACAATTATTCATTGTTTGGCTTTAGTAAAATCTATATAGTTTCTCTGGTGTTTTTTTTTTTTTTTTTTTTTTTTTTAATACCAGGTTATCTACAAGAAATTTCAAATTCCCTGTGGTTTTCGAGAGCTAAATTCAACAGCAAATGCTAATTCAACAAATGCTGACATGTGTACGCCAAAATATGTTACTTTCAATTCTAAGGTAAGTTTCCTTGTCCTTTAAAGATAAACAAGAACATCTTGATTAAGGCCAATATATTTCTCATACTTGTAAAATTACACTGTTTTGAGTATATTAGTTCTTGTAAGAACACATGGGGTCATTGCTTTTGTATCCCACAGTCCATTCAGAGACCTTTGAGATGTATGGAAATATATTTCCCCTTACTTCTTATCTGCTTAAGACAAACCATGAGCGTTTACTGTGAAAATTTCTTTCTGGGTAATTATCTCAGCTTTTCTCTTAGGTAGAGTACAGGGTGATGCTTTAAAAGCAAAGTATAATATCCTTAGCCCACTGCATTTATATGATGGTGACAGAAGGAATTCCTCAAACCTGTTCAGTTTGCACAGTTGAAATATAGACTTATCACCACGAATTGGCATGTAAAAAAAAAATGTTTATACTGTAAAATAGGGTTGATAATATGGGGAACCATGGACTCTATGGTCCGTCAGGCTTGGATTTCAGTCCTTAGGCAAGTCATATCGCTTGTGTCAAAATGAGAATCCTTTTCTTTATCTCCCAGGGTTTTGTGGGACCAGGTCTCCTATAGAACTTCAGCAAAGTAAGAACAGGAGATATGCTAACTTTTCTTCCCTTCTCTATCAATTTCCTTTTCTATAACAAATTCTATTGAGTTTGAGAGTTTAAAAAAATCTTATCTAAGAGAATAAATAGGTCTCTCTCTCTCACACTTTAAGGATACAAAGTAGTGAACTATGGAACTAGCTTTCTTTTTAGATGCTATCTTTTAAGTACTCTTTGATGCACCTGACCTAGCCAAAGAGCGGTCAAACAGAGGTGGAAGTCCTAAGCACATTACCTAACCTGTCCGAGGGATTCCAAGAACAGCAAGCAATGGCCTCTCTGCTGCTCAGGGCTGCTGCAGGGATCCAGTGAGAGTGTGATGTAGGAAAATTGCCATGTAACTGACTAATGCCACTTAACCATGGGTTTACTGCGCTTGCAGTGCATAAACACCCTGTAGGCGGGCCAGATCTAAAGCCGTTATGTGACAAACGCCTAATGGCTAGAGCTAGATAAGCCCTCTTGAGAAAAGCTGCTCCTGTTTTAGAGATCAAAACTTTCCTAATTACCAAATAATCCAGAGATTCTGAAGAGCTGTCAGATAAAAAACAGCTCTGGAAACACTGGAGTGAGCTGTATAATTTTTATGGTAAAGATGTCTTTTTCTTAATGTTTATTTCTTTTTCTTTCAAATAGACCGTGTATGCTTTACCAACCATCGCATTTGCATTTGTCTGCCACCCATCAGTCCTGCCAATCTACAGTGAGCTTAAAGAGTAAGAGATTTCATTTTTATATCTTGATCATTTTATGCCCCCTCATTAGTGGACAAGTTCTGTATTAAAATAAAATCTTATGGGCTGGGGCTGGGGCTCAATGGGGTTCGATTCTCAGCACCACATATAAATAAATAAAATAAAGGTCTATCAGCAACTAAAAAATAAATAAATAAATAAAATCTTATACAATGAACCACCACAGATTCATCACCCAGTTTTCAACATTGACTGACATTTGCCATTCTTAAGTACTGTATTTAAAAATCCAGAAATCTGCAGTATTCTTTGGCCATAAATATAGAAAGTGGCCAATCCTGTGGGATTTTTAGTTAATTTGTATTTTCAAATATTGTATTAACTTAGGAGAGTTCAAGTACTTGTGTTGCTTTTTGTTCCTTGTGCTTAGTTTTCAAGTAATGATAATCTTCAGACTGATCTGGAAACTGCTAAATGCACTGTCTTTGATTCCCCTGATGGTTGGGGTAGAAAGGGCTGGTAAATCAGACAATAGGAAATTAATATTAAGGCTACAAACTAGAAAGAATAATATATTATTTTTATGGACACATTATCTTTATTTATTTATTTATTTATTTATTAAAGAAAGAGTGAGAGAGAGAGAATTTTAATATTTATTTTTTAGTATTTGGCGGACACAACATCTTTGTTGGTATGTGGTGCTGAGGATCGAACCCAGGCCGCACGCATGCCAGGCGAGCGCGCTATCGCTTGAGCCACATCCCCAGCCCCACTTATTTATTTTTATGTGGTGCTGAGGATCAAACCCAGTGCCTGACATGTTAGGCAAGCACTCTACTACTGATCTACAGCCCCAGCCCAGAAGAATAATATTGTTGTTTGAAATTATTAAGATGATTCTATGGATTTATTTTTGATTGTCCTTTTAGAGAAGAGTAAAGACCAGCTTATAAATCTCCTCTGGTGTTCTCCTGTTATCAGATTATTCTATATAAAAATAGTCATCAAGGAATAGTCTTAGGTTCAGAAAAGATATACAATATAGTTGTTCATCTCCATTTTTAGACAAAAATATTGATGCCATTTAGCATTGACTTCTCTCTCAATTCTTCCCCTTTCATATTTAATTGATAAATGGCCAAATTTTGAAATGTTTCCTTTTATTTAAAATCTGCATATAAATTCGTGATCCTACATTTAGAGAATTTAAATATGTCTTCATCATCTTTTCAATTTAATGGTCTGCTTTTAGTTTATCATTTTCTCAAGTATGTACTGCTCGTTTTCCTCATTTTCCACGCTCTCTCACGACATCCCAGATTCTGTATTAGGACACAACTAAATGTTATGACTATCTGTGGTCTGTTATGGAATACAGTCTTGTAGATTAATTATTTTAGCAGTTTAAAAAACTTAAAAGGGTCATTCCAACCCCAGAGTAGACTGGACCTGAGAGACAGCCCACCCTCATCGCCAGTGCCATCTCTTGAGTCCCTCCTGCTCTGGAGATACACAGACTTCCAGGTGCCTCCCTGGGGTACTTGATGGGCCAACCAGAGCCCACACAGCAGCCTTCAAGACACAACTCCTGAGGTCAAGTTCTAGCTCTGCCACTGATCTCTGCAGCTGGGAGAAAGAGCACTTGAATTTTTTCTGCCTTTTTTTTTTTTTTCTTTGCCCAGTCAGTGTGGAGATAATAAACACAAATATTAAAAAGTACTGTCTGGCCTTCAGATGAGAACTTGATATTCTTTTAAAAGCATGGGGAAGAACACTCAAGGGAGGGTAGTTCATGGATCACTCCCTCACAACATCCATTTGGTATTAAAGGTAGTTATTTTAAACTGGCATAATTGCTGGGGGTTTCTAGCTGACCAGATCTGCCCCAACTTGATGGAAGTAAAGTTAAATGAGTATGTTCCTCAGTGTTAGCCCCCGCACTTCAGTTCAGTAATACATTTTTTTTTTAATTTTCAAATTTATTTATCTTTGTTTTTAGTCGATCACAGAAAAAAATGCAGATGGTTTCAAATATCTCCTTTTTCGCCATGTTTGTTATGTACTTCTTGACTGCCATTTTTGGCTACTTGACATTCTATGGTAAGTAATCTCTGTCGATGCATACTTACAGGTATGTACAAATAAATTAGTTAAAATCAATAACAAAATGACAGGGAGACCAAACAGGGCAACCAAGTTAGCTTTTCATTGGTTTTACTGTTTTCACGTAAAATGGTGATGGTTTCTTTTACATGTTTATGTAGATTGCAAAATAGGATCATCACTAAAACAATATTCTGTAGTTGTTTTCTTCTCATAGCGTCCTTAAAAGAAATTGCATTTTAGTAAAAGGCGAAAGATTTATACGATCTGAAGAGAAACCAGAGTATAAGAAATTGCATTTTAGGAGCATGCCGTCTTAGGAAAGTTTGAAACTACATCACAGAAGACTTTCCTAATTGACACTGAAAATTGGGTCAGACTCCATTAATAGAAAAGACAGAGACAGATGCTGGAAGTGAGGAAAAGGAGAGTGCCACACTCATGACACTCTACATTAATTAAAAATAAAACGCTAAGTGTTTACCGGAAGTTGGGGCCTTGCAAAGACCAGAAGGAATGACATAGAAAGTTAAATGAAATGAAATCTGAAAAAGAAAGCAAGGTTTTATTTGTAACTTGTATTGACCCTTTTAAATAGCTTACCTGCTTTTGCTRCTTAATCTCTCCTACTCAAATTATCCTGCATCTTTGTTTATCATGTTTCAGTGGCATATTTTCACAATTATCTCTATTAAGTGATATTTCTTTAGGGCATTTTTCTTTTACATACAAAAATTGCCTCAAAATTTAAACACATTTAAAGATTAATTTAGCTTGGAGAGAAAGGCTACTCTGATTATACAGTTGTATTATTACTATTTCACAAGCAATAGAGAATAGCATTATCTACGACTCCATAACTAGCACATTTAATTTTGCATAAAAATGGTGTTTCTGCAGTTCCCACAGAGTCATAGGACTAGGGTGGGTGGAGGGAGGGAGAGAGGGAGAAGTAATGTTAATTGAACAGTCTCACTGTTACCTTCTTCAAGCTCTGATTTTTCTTTGTAAATACATTTTTTAACATATAATAGAATACTGAACCCTTTTATACTCTTAGAAGAAAGAAAAAAGATGAGCTATTTTTAAGTGATTATGAATTCTGAATCAAGAAAATGAGAACTAATGAGTTGGGTTTGTTTTTTTTTTTTTTTTTAATAACCTTTGGTCCTTTTCCAGACTGAGACAAGCTCTATGGTACAGGTTAGAATTTGAACTTCAGGCCCAGAATCTTGAGATTGGTTCAATGAGAAGCTTTTGAAAGGAGACATGAGGGGAAATGATTTCTTATCAAAAGAACGAGCATTTCCATGCTGTTCTTTGACTGCTTTCCCAGCATTGGTAGTCTTTGAAATAACACTTTCTAGAATTTGAGCTGAGAGAAATTCAAAGTAGTACATCAACTGTATGCTTTTTTTTTTTTTTTCCTCCTCTTAACAAAAAAAACATTCGTGGAGGAGAAGCATTCTTTCTCAGTGGTCGTGAGAATGGTGAGGTTAGGTTGGTACCTCTGCTCCTTGGCCACTGGAGGTTGAGTTGCAAGAGTGGAGTGTGAAGGAAAAAAGCTCTCGTGGTCTGCAGCCCCCTAGGAAGACTGCAGCAAGTCGTTGTAGCTTGGAGAGTAGCTCTCAGTCAGGGGAGTCTGTAGATTTGGAGGGGCTTGTGCCTCAGTCATGCAGGTTAATTAGTTTCAGTGAAGCAGCCCTGCTCCATGCACCTTCTTCTAGTGATTGCTTTGCATTCTTTTCAGCTAAAGGTGCACCTGAACGCTGGAGCATGTCTCTCTCACATAGGGGTGGTTGTTGTTTTTTTTTTTTTTCAACTTTATAAATGGTTTTAACAGATATTTCTTTACCCTTTGGTTTACAAATTCTTGGTAGTTCACAAGAACTCATTCAGCAAAACCCTTTGTCTCCTTCTAAAACTCTCTTGCTTTTCCCTCCCTGTAGACAATGTACATTCAGACCTCCTTCACAAGTACCAGAGCAAAGATGACATTCTCATCCTGACAGTGCGGCTAGCTGTCATTGTTGCTGTCATCCTCACCGTGCCGGTGTTATTTTTCACAGTGAGTAAAAGGCCTCAGTGTCATCTGAGAAAAGCTGGGGTCTTGCCTTTCTTTTTTGCCTTCAGAACCCTGTTCCAGAAAAAGCCTGCCTAGGTGACTTCCCTAGTCATTGAATGAGCCTGAGAGGCTCCATGCTCTTGGGACAGTAAGTGGGATCTGTGAGCTAGTGTACCCTCTGTAGATGGAATCTTTTTTTTTTTTTTTTTTTAGTTGTAGATAGACACAATATCTTCATTTTATTTATTATTTAGATTTATGTGGTGCTGAGGATCGAACCCAGTGCCTCACATATGCTAGGCAAGTGCTCTACCACTGAGCTACAGCCCCAGCCCTCTGTAGGTGGAATGGTTGAATGTCAGGCCTACATGATGAGAGGGTGTAGAAAGACCAGGAGAGAACACTCAAATCTTAGTTAAAGCAAAGAAATTACCCACCCCAAAGGAAAACTCTTACCGTTCATATATGCAAATACTTGGAAGTTGAAGTCAAGCCCCATACGTCCAAAACTGTTAAGCTATCTCAGAATTCACAAGGCATTATGAAACATTCCACAGATTCCTGTGCCGCAAGCCATCAATTATTCTACTGAGAAATGTGAAGTTTAGTGTTCTGCTTAGGCCTTTACAGAATCCTTACTTTCTTTTCCTACAGGTTCGTTCATCTTTATTTGAACTGGCTAAGAAAACAAAGTTTAATTTATGTCGTCATGTCTTGGTTACCTTCATACTCTTGGTTATCATCAACTTGCTGGTGATCTTCATACCCTCCATGAAGGATATTTTTGGAGTCGTAGGTATGGCTTTATGACTTTCCACCTATCATTCCACAACATACTGCAGCTGTTTAATGTTAAAATTGCATAAGAACAATCCTAAGCTGCCTTCTTTTTTTTTTTTTCTTTGCAGGAGTTACATCTGCTAATATGCTTATTTTCATTCTTCCTTCATCTCTTTATTTAAAAATCACAAACCAGGATGGAGATAAAGGCACTCAAAGAATCTGGGTATGTCTCTTGCCAACCACTCTAATTTTCTGATTAGCTTTCCATTTGAATTTGGCAAATAAATAGTTCATCTCTCTACCATCTTAAACTACTTTTAGTAGCCTTGAAGGGAGGCATTAGCCCTATAGTTTTCCCCTTGGGGATATGTAAAATTTCAAATCATATCTTCTCCATTCCCTCAAAATATCTTTTCCATTTTTTACTCTTATTGTGCATTAGCTTTTACTCTGATCCAGCTAGCCAGGAGATGGATGTTTCTACTCCTGTGACTCCATAGGTGTGTGATGCCTCTCTTTAGCGAGATATGAAGTGGAGAGACTCAAAGATTGGATGCAGTCTTCTGTTTCTGCATGATTTCTAGTCACATAACTAACTCCTTCCTACAACCCAGGGCATAGGCAGTGACTTAAATGAAATGTCTGAATTAGTTTAAAGAGCCTTTTTATGACTTGACAGAAATGCTTTGGAGCAAGCAGACCTGGATTCAAAAACTACCTTTCTATATTGGGATTCTTGTTTCCAGGTCTGGTGAAGTTCAAGGGCATCTTGAAGGTGGTGCACTTGGAGACAGTGAGGGAAGCAGGGGTGAAGTGGCTGCTACATGAGTCCCTTCTGGAGCACCATTTTGCTTGGCCTCGAAGAAGGCTTCTCAGCTGCCCTCCCAGATAGTGTAAGCACTGTAATTGCACATGTTACCTGAGTCAACAGACCCAGAGGCAGGAGGGACCATCCCTATGCACTTAGAAATAGAAACATCATTGATGCTGGTAGAGCATCTAGTTTATCCCTGAAGCCATAAACTCCAAATCCTTCTAGGCCTTTACCTGTAGGATCTACCCAAGGATAGAGAGGAAGGAGAATTCACTGTGGCACTATCATGAAATATCCTAAGATGGAATTGGTACAAATGGGGAAGGCCTGTTGTCTGTAAATTCTCTGGGCCTCTCCATTCACACTCCCATGATAAAACTGCATCTACCAAATAGCATTAGGCAAGGGCTCCTTGTAGGGACTACTGGGAGTTAGATGGGTCAGCTCCATAATTTGCCTCATCTCCTTCCCTTACCTCTTCTACCCGCAAGTTCCCAGGCTAGCCCTTGGCTCTCATATGGCTTCATCTTCCCCTGCAAAACTCACTTTTCTCAAGGCCAAACAACTTATAATCACCAGTTCTCCAGATGCTGAACTTAGTAACCTGTCCACCTGTGGCCTTCATCAACCCTCCAAGTAACTTAGTTTTTGACACTTGTTTCTGATCTCACTTGATCAAATCTACTTTGCTTTTGCTTATATTTGTTCCATTTTTTCAAACAGAAAGGTCTGCCTGCCAGTGATAATTTAGGTTGGTAGGTAACAAGTACCACAATGACCTGGATTTTTTTTCTTTTTAAGTTATAATTTTACTTTGAGAAAAAAGCTCTAAGGATACCCAGTCATTTGTAGACTGGATACATTTGAGGTGACCATGAAGTTAAAGAACGGAATGTAGAGGACGGCTGTGCTTAGCTTATTTTTCTTATTTTCCCATTCTTGCAGAATCAGATTCACACAATTGTAGAATCTCACCATTCAGCAATGGTTATAACAAACTCCAACTATAAGGGGACACAAAGGGAGAGGGGAAAATTTTTCTATTTTTTTCCCAGGTGCATATGGAAAAGGTCAACGGCATTGAAAATAATCCATGTCTTTTTATTGCTCCAGGCGGCCCTCTTTTTGGGCCTGGGGGTGCTGTTCTCCTTGGTCAGCATCCCCTTGGTCATCTATGATTGGGCCTGCTCATCCGGTAGTGACGAAGGCCACTGAGACCAGCCAGAAAAGAAAGCATTCCGGTCTGCTGCTCATCAAGTCTCCACACATCAGCAACTCCTCATCACTTCTTTTGCAAGTTCACAGAAACAACAGAAAAGTACAAGATACTTAAAATGGAACAGCACTTTGGTTGCAAATTGGAGGCCTGTTTCTGTAACAGTTTGTGCCCCTCCAACATTTGGGATCTCTTTAGGAATGGTGGACCTTTCCCCCTATCCTCAAATTTCATGCACTTATATTATAAAGTACTTTTCAAGTCAGTTTCCATTCTCCTAACTCTGTTTTTGTGGCTTTGTAGTCTCTTAGAATTTTGAAAACATGATCACCAATCGTGTTGACTTATTATATATCCAGGTTCTGAGATAATTTTCCTACTGATGTTCAGCTCACACTATCTGGGTCTTTTTAGAAAAGAATCTTGAATTGTATATATTTATTTTGCTTTATAGGAAAAAAACCAGTTTTTCGTAAATAATTTGCCTATTTTGGTTGACATAGCACACCAAGTTAATCATATGGGAGTCATAGGGTACGTGCCATTGCCTAATCTGAGCACGCCCATTGTTTGAGGCAGCTCAGATCAGGGCCGTCCAGCTGCCTAGCAGGTACAACATACTGCTCCCATGAAAGATATTCCCTTGTGAGTGTCCTCAGATAGGAAGAGGTTGGAATAATACCTTCATAAATATATTAAACTACACATTTATCTAATCTTGCAAATGAAGTTTGTTTTTTTTTTTTCCTTTTAGAATCTTAGGTCAGAGTTCCTCTAGGCTAAGTGAGCTTCTACTGGGGGAGACCCCTGGCACCTGCCATAAAAAGATTGTCCAAGATGCCTAAGAAAATACTCCTCTGATGTAGATAGCCTTTAACTCTACACCTGTATCATTGAAGTGAGGGAAATATTTTATTGAGTTTATAAGCCCAGCAGCATTTATTTAGTCATGTCCACCAGCTTTTTGTCATAGAGAATAATGTGTCCCTAACTAAGGACGATCTAGGTAAGTAATTCCTATTTTATATTGGGTACTTTAGGAGAGTCTTTAATAGACTTGTTTTATATAATAAATCTAGGTTATTACAAATACAAGATTTTTGTACCTCAAATAAGCCTCATTTCTCTTTCTTCTCCATTAACTTTCCATCCAGTCTTGAAAATAAGCTTTCAGAGAGTCTTTGTGAAGAACCTTTGGTGAAATCACTGTGTACCTTCCTTTTCCCCACAGGGAAGACGAGGGCCTCAGAGTCCGCACTCTCTCTCTTCTCATTACTGTTCATCTCAGCGTGGTTTGTGCAGCACAGAGTTGCCCCAAACTCTTACTCAGTCCCTCCCCTAAAGGGAGTGGAAAGAAACTATGAAGAGATGAAATGAGAGAGCTTGTGACAAGGTAGCTGGAACAGGAATGGGGGACACAAAGGACACCCAGATAGCAACCCCCAAAGCTGGGCCATCCCATCACTTGTGATTGGCATGTCCCTGTCTTATGAATGGTAAGAAATGTGCATGCTCTGTGAGCTGGTCTCTTGAAACAGGGCTTATGCCTTATCTATATGTATTCTGGTTGCATTTTCTAAACATGTAAGTTCACCGAGCACAGATTTCTTATCTGGAGATAAGTAGAATCTAACCACAGATGGTTGGCAGAGTTTCCAGGCACTTAGCTCTGGCTTCTGTTCCTTCCACCTTGACTCCCTGACTCCCCAAAGGGCTTTGCTGTCACTGAGAGTCGGTCACAGGGAACTGTCCCCCCCCCCCTTTTTTTTTTTTACAAACTAATGTCTGTAGATAAGGCAGGCATCAAAGCACCTGTCACAGTCCTCTTGGAGGAGAATGAAAGGTTATTTCCTGCTTTACACCATCATAGCTTTTAATGTAATACTGCAGAATGACATCCATATGGAGTCAGAGTTCAGGCAACTGGATTTGATCGCCTGACCCAGATCCCAGTACCTTAACCTAGTAAGTCCACAGCCATCTTGTCCTTTTTAGAAGAAGTAGTTTCCATGTTAACATGAGCAATGCTAGAAACTGAGCATTTCTATTTCACCAAGTAATGAAATAGTCAGAGAATGGGATGACCCTACATTAAAAAAAAAATACATAATTTAGTTTGCAAGCTATACTACTATGCATCTTTCTATTTTCTTCATTACTCAGTTCATTTTATATTCACAAAGTGAATTCAGAAAATTATTAATTCTGGGTTGTGTAGTGATATTCTTTGGATCTCTGGATTTTGTGTGTCAGTATGAGAAATTTGTTATTTAAGATATATTTATTTAGAGGAAGCACATTATTGTTGATGTCTGTTATTCACATTTTTCAACCTTTCTTTGTAAGTTTAGTTGGTTGTTAACTGACTATTATAGACCCTACTGTAATTTGTCAAATATTACTGATTATATGACTTGTATGGAATTCACTATGAAGTGTACTGCTATTCTTATTCAAAATAGTGCACTGGTATCCAAAAAATAACATGTATTGCAGATGTTAGGTAGAACTTAAGCAGCACAAGTCAAGTGCTATAGATGTTTTTCTGCTAAATTAGTAGACTAAAGATACTGTATCTTAGCCAGAGGAAGCAGCACGTTTTCCTTTGGTAGATAGGATCTCTATACTAGTGAACAGTGTCAGTTTCATACTGTGGATTTAGAACTGTTCTCTGGTTATGGTAACACAGAATACTACAAATCCCTAATTTACTTCATGTCACTTATTGGAAGTGGGGGTAGCAAAACATGCCCAGGAAGAAAATCTACTCTTTTTAGGCATAGGTAGCCACCAGTTATAAGGAATTTATATTGTGAAACTTTGTGGGTTGTTTGCAACCTGGAATGTATTTTCCTTTAGAAATCAGGTTAGGCACCCAGACCAGCTAGAAATGATTATCAGACCCATAGTTTAGCTGAAATTGAATAATTTAATATGACTGCAAAAGGAACCAAGCCACCAAATACGACTGGTTCCTGGGGGTGTTTGTTCAGAGCTGTCAAGAACATCTCTGCCTGTTGCTAGTGGAATCTAGACTGTTCATCTCAGCCACATATCACCTGCTGGACAGAATAATGGTCTCCAGCAAAGATGAGGGAGAAAAAGTCCAGAAAGCCTGGGGGTAGGAGGAGTGGAAGCAGGATGAGGGGCCTCCAGGGGCGGGGGATTGTAAGCGTTCCTCAGCTGGTACCTTTTCTTTCATCCGGGGTCTCAGGCTGGACTTCTTTTGCTCCCATAGTTCACCTCCTTTCCAGCCCATTACAGAAAAGGACATCACTGCATAGCTTTTCCTATGTACCAGGGTGTGGTGGAGGCCAGCACATGACACTTGGAATAGCCTTAGTGCTCTTGATTGCAGTTTAATTGCCCAGTAACCACAGGAAGGGTAAAAAGTCTCCACTTTCCTTTTCACATACACCCTGTTGGAAAAAAAAAAAAAAAAAGAAAGAAAGAAAGGTACACATCAGTTAGGGGGTGGAGGTAGGCAAAGGGCAGTGGTAAAATTCCTCAGCATCTTAGAGGACACCTCCCTTACTGCCAAGAGAGACTTCTTCCTGGAGCTGGACTCAAGCCTCCAAGCTGGTGGTTCTCAAAGTGCATCCCCCAGACCAGCAGCATCAGCATCATGCATGAACCTGTTAGAATGCACATTCCCAGGCCTGGCTTCAGACTGAAATTGGCCGCTCTCAGAAAGGGGCAGCAATCTGAACAAGGCCTCCAGGTGATGCTAATGCACATCAAGTTTAAGAACCGCTCTGGACTAATTAGTTCTCTCCATGAGTCCTAATTCAGAAGATAGTTTCCAGGCAAAAAAAAATGGGAGCCCAGTCAGGGAGGGGAGGAAAACACCTCAGTGACTCTGCAATGGCAGGAAAAGCAAAGGAATCTCTTGCTGTCACCCGCTGTGCCCCCTCCCTCCAGAATTACCAGTGCAGGTGCACACTCCAAAACTACACTTAGGGTTACTTCAGGTAAGGCACAGTGAGGATGACATTTTTATAGCTGTGAAGAAATCAAAGTAAGGCTTTTTTTTTTTCCTTTTCTTTTTTCTTTTTTTGAGGGAAATTAAAAGAAAATCCCTTTTGTAAATGTAACCTTGGAGGAAATACTGAATTTGTGTCAGAAGTCAGTTTGCCACAGAGTGTGTTCGTGGGGGCATCAATCCTGTCCTCCTTTTAAAGTGAATTCGCAGTCAGTGGTAGAGCACTTGCCTAGCATGCACAAGGCCCTGGGTTCTATCCACAATGTAGCAAAAATAAATAAAGTGAATTCTCTCCTGATAGGTCTACACTGCTAAAGGAACTACAAACTGCTCTGAAAAGTAGCAATTTGGCTCCATTGCAGTGTAGCCCAGCAGTGGAGGGCACTAGTAATTGGGGTGGGTAGAAGGTGGTGATAATACTGGATATTTGATTTTGTGCCTTGGAGAAAAACCTTCCCTCCATTTTTCAGTTTAAATGACTTGGGGCTTAGGAAGGGCATAGGCTTTAAGACTAATTCCCTCCCTCAAGCAAATGTCCAGCAACTTTCAAAACAACAATCCAGATGACATCATTTAGCAGTACTCATAAATGGTTTTCCTTAAGGATGGCAGATCTCAAACTTTGTTAGCAACAGAACATTCTTCCTCTGAAATAGAGTGAATTTTTAATAATGATATAAGGCTTTCAGGTACAAATTGGGGGTGGGGTGGCTAACAACTGAAAAATATCAGAATCAAAAGAGAGTTCTTGGAAAACAATGTAAGATTTGCAAGGATGCAGACATCCTCCTTTGGGGTTTTCTCTGAGGAAGGCCCTGAAACTGGGCCTATTTGTATACAGGCTCAAATTTGTGTTTTTAAGGAAGAATCTATGCAGCTGAGGCTTATTGTAGGAATGCTTCATTTGTATATAAATATATTGTAAATAAATAGGAGGCTGTATATTTTTGCAGTTGTTGATCCACACTGAAATAGAAGTCACTAGTATCTGCATATAAAGAATAAATGTTTTCATAGATATTAGTGGTTTTGTTTGAGAATTAGAACAATTTTAATTTCCTTCCCAGGTATCATAATTCTCTCAGTATAAACTTGGAACCTAAAACCTTACTTAATTGTTTAGAAAAAGAAATGTCTGAGAAATAGCTGTGTTGATTTTTTTATGCTGGTATTAAAATCACTTGTTTAAATGATAGTTCTCTGAGCTACAAGAATATTTAGACCCCAATCATTGTCATATAAAAATAGATAAACCCCAAATGACAGATTGTTTCTTAATAAAATTCTTTTGCTGTTTAACATTGATGCCACTATGCAGTATTTACGAAAACAGGAGTTAGGAGAATGTTTTTGTTTTTTGTTTTTCCAAAACTGAATTGCTACATTTCCCAAACTTTGGGATCTTGGTGTGGAGAGTATGGGTAGGGGGACTGAATATTAACTATGAGCACAAATTTGAAGGGAAAAAAAGTTATTTTATCAAGTTTTGAAAGTTGCATGTTTGCTTTTTATTTTAGTGTTGAGGCCGACATAGTCTCTTATGTAAGTGTTTTTCCCCAAAACACTTGAATCCTAATTGTTGGTTCGTAATCCATTCTCTGGAGTCCAGTGTATTTTAGACTTCATCTGAGTCCGGTATGTGTAGCACACCACTGTTCTATTAATGTAAAAACCTTGTAAATGAATTTCAGATGGGTCATTTGGGTCACGAATCACAAAACTTTGCTATTCACAGTTAAGCAAATAGAGAGTTTTGTTTTCTTTTTCAGGGTGTGGTGTAAATAAAGAAATGTAAGGAGTCCTGTTCTATAACTGCTCTGTTAACATAGTTTTTAAACAGTAAAAATGTGAACTAAAAGTACTTAGAAGTCTTGTCTTGGTTCTTTGGGGATGCAGTGCTGAAATGGGGGGCAGTTGAGTATTATTTATCCTACTTAGAACCACTGGAGAAAAGTTTGTGTGTGTGTGTGTGTGTGTGTGTGCGCGCGAGCGTGCGCATTCCTCAATGTTTTTGATCATGGAAACTTATATTTTAAGATTCCCACCTTTTTAAAAAATTAATTAATTATTTTTTCATTTACATATGACAGTGGAAAGCATTACCATTCATATTACACATATAGAGCACAATTGTTCATATCTGTGGTTGTATACAAAGTATATTCATACCAATTCGTGTCTTCATACATGAACTTTGCAAAATGATGACCATCTCATTCCACCATCAAAATAAAAAAGTTCTGATAGAAACCCATTTGGTCTGACACATATTAGGTATGTCACTTTCTTCCTACTCAGAGTAGTTTGGAGACAATGTTTTCTTTTTTAACTCGGGTTCATCTTTAGGAGTGTTCATTTCTGTCCTGTGCTGTAGAAGGAACACTACCCACACTGCAGCTGCCATAAAATGGGATATTCTGCCTACACCTGTGTTTCCCTGGGAACCAGGAGGGAAGAAACCACTGAGTTTTGCCTTTTCCTTCCCATCACCTGTTTCATCACAAGATCTCAGAGAAGTTTTCTCAGAGGACCAACACAGTCAGGGTCTGATGAACAGATTCTTCTTGTAAGCACAGTCAGTGCAAGACCAGGCTGGGCGTTTCTTGGTGTAACTGGGTGTGAGGCTCACCTTGATTCTCCCTGGGCTGCTCAGATGATGACAGCCCATGGGGCAGGGCCCATCAGCACACATGTGCATCTCAAGGTGGAAACAAGGAACAGAGTCCAAGTCACATACTCCAGTCTAGCTTTATTGGGAATAAAGCTGATATTTTTATCCTTCCATGTCTCTTGTGTCTACTTTTTAATTGATCAAAATCCCAAAGGCAAAGTATGTAATTATCACTTTCAAACCTAAGCAGTGGTAAAAAATCACATTGAAAAGGTTATTGAGAATCTGAGCATTTTGTTTGAATTCTACATATCTTTTGATCATTCTGGCTGCTTCCACTGTCACTTCATGACTGCCTGCCAATACTGTACACCTTTATTCTGCCCCATGGAACACATACATGGTGGGTAAGGGTTATCCTGCCTCTCCCTATGAAACAAACTATGGGCTTAGTGAGACCTTTGCAATTCAGAGGCCCTGTTTGCTTATTTTTGAGATTGATAATTGTGTTCTGCTTGGTTTAATATGGTCTGAAAAGGGTTAGACTAAAATTGTAGAACAATCTACTCTTCCTTGGGAGGTTCAGTAGAACATCAAAATAACCTGCCAAGTCATCAAAATGTATTTTAAAGCTATAGCACTTAAAACAGATTTGTACTAGTATAGAAATATAGATCAAAATAGAATGCACATAAATGACCCAAATAATACCAAAAAGGTGGCCTTTTAAATCAATGGGGGAAATAAAGGTTACCTAATAAATGGGGACAACATGCCTAGTTTTTGAAGAAAATAAAACTAGATCTCTATATTGCCCCTAAAGAGAACTCGAAATATATTTAAGATTTTAAACAAGACATGTAATAGATCTACTCTTTACAAGTATGAAAATTATAATTGTGTCAAGCTTTTTTATTTAGCTTATTATTAATGAAGGAACAAGGTGTTTAAAAAATGGTTCAAATAACAGATATATTATAGAAGCAATCAGGAATGCTGAAACAAATTTGCTAATAGATGCAAAACTAGTTGTCCACAGAGGAAAATCAGCTGCATCTCCAACAGAATTCATGTGTTTCTCTAGACAGTAATCTCTATTTCTATCAGTTTGCTATAAAGTATAGGATTATAAAGTAGTTCAAAGGCCTGAAAAGGAAGAGGAGAGATGGAAGGAAGGAAGAGAGGGAGAGAGGGAAGGAGGGGGGGAGGAAGAGAGGGAGGGAGGGAGACCTGTGTACAATCAGATGACCCAAAAAAGACACCTAATATTTCATTTAAAGTACATCCAGTAATCTTTCCTTTTCCTCTTTAAAAGCTGTTGGTTTTTTTTTTTTTCCTTAACAACTTCCCCCTTTGTTGCCATAAAAGTCTCAAAGATTATTCTTAGTCATAGGAAGGCTGGTCTCATTAAGTTTGACCTACTTATTTGCATAGGAGCAGTGAGTGTCAATTAACTGTATAGGCTTCCGTGAGTTTGCTTGCAATCTAAAACTATGCAGTATTGAATTGCTGCTGGAGCCACAGAATTGTACATTTAAAAATCTACTTTTTGCTAGTTCAAGGCTAGGAAAACAAGCCCAAGAAACTACCACATTTCAACAGTACTATCTGTAAATTTGAGTAAATTCATCTTTACTTGAGTTCCCCCAAATTTGCTAAATCCCTGGCTTACCAGGAAGTTCCCGTTCTTACTACCTGTAAGGTTGGTACCCTACATTTAGAACTAAGCTATTGGTTATGCCCTTAAGACTTTGGTCCTAGGCCAGTTTTTCTGGGAGTGTTTTGTAGGCATTGGCTTTATAAGTAAAAATCAACCTTTACTCCTTAGGGTTGTTTGACACTGGCTAAATGACCATCATTCTCAAATATGACATTCCAAGTAAGGCCAGGGTTAATACAATCAATTTCATCCAATTATATGCAGGAAAAAGGGAGAGAGGCAGTTGAATGTATGTAACTAAAAACGTTGCTATGTAAAAGTAAGGGGACTCGGTTGCAGTTTTCCAATTCAGGGCTGGAGGAGAGTTCAGTGAGAAACAGAAAAAAAAATGTTTAATTTCACTTTATAAAAGCAAAGTCAGTTGAATCTTCTCAAGATAGTTTAAGAAGAAAGATAAATGGCTTCCTTATATACCCAGAAAATAGAGCATTAAAACATAGTCACAATAAAATATTCCTTCTCAGGTCATTTTGTCCTTGTAATTTTGTTTTGCTAGATCTTGGATTAGCATTCTGCTTTCATAAAGCTGTCTCCTTCTAGATTAAACAGTCCTGGAAAAACACACTTGCTCCACAGGTACAGACTGAATGTCATCTAAGTATCAGCTCAGAGCTTGTACCCAAGAGTCTTTCTCTACAGTGTCGATTCTTTAACGTACTTTTACACAGTCATTTTCCATGAGTTTCTGGGGCCCTCTTTCTTTGCTGAAGAACAAGATTTTGGCCTGTAGTTTATAACAGAAACTCAGGCTAGTTTCAGGAAGCAGAAACCTGTTTGATAATGAGACTGGAAGGCTGTAGTTAATTTACTACAGTAGCTCTTGGTTATTCACTCCATCCTGAGCATCCATTATACCATAGGTGTCCTTCAGGTAACCTTGAAGGCTGTGGAGTATTCCCTGAAAGTTTACCCAGTAATTCTCCATCCCCTTCAGAGTCCTTCACAGTTTTTCTGTTATAATCTGTATATCTATAACTATGTCTCACACATATAATGTCTTGCAGTAGAGAGAACTTTCTTGTTACAAAACACAGAACTAACAAAGGAGGTAATTGATAGATAATATTTTAAAACTCTATTTGACATACAATAGTGCTAAAATGCAAAAAAAAAAAAAATCCAGAATGGAAGACAAAGTTAACCTTTGCTACACACATTTTGCAATTGGCGGAATGTGTCTCTCAAGTTTGAAGTTCCARTTGTTCAACA